AAGTTCGTATCTCTTCATTTAGTAGAATAGATACACTCAACTGCTGTAGACTGGTATTGTGTCTGAGACCAGTTGTTAGGAAATACAAGAATGAGCTGGGAATCTCATTATACCATTCATGAGTAATTTCAAGGCATTCCAATGTTTGATTTTGAGCTAGCATGTTTTTCAGACTAATACCCATGCTACTAGTAGCTCTCTTCCCCTCTACTTTCACACTCAGAGCTTTAAGTGTAGTATTGGTTTGTAGAATAGTGAAAAGTTGAATAGCACTCTCAACTGTGTCTAGTGGTAAAGTAAGTGTATGTAGACTGGGATGAGAGAGAAATAGAGGATGTGGTGGGTATGGATCATGTAGTATCAGACAGTGCAATCCTTTGATATGTGGAAGGAGTGATGACATCAGTTTACTACTCCTCCATCTTCCTATCTCTAGAGCAGTCAGTGGTGTGTTCACCTCTACTATATTCAGTGATGATGGTAGGAGTTTATCAGGTATATCCAGTGAAAGAGCTTGTAATGTGTTGTTGTCCTTTAGTAACTGCTCTATTACTCCATCAGGTAGAGGAGAAGTATCAGCAGACAGTGATAGAGCTAATGATTTTAATGTCTTGTTTCTTGTAACTCCTCTTGTGACACTAATAATGGTGATTGTTATTTCCTCATTTCCACTGTACTCAATCTTCATTTCTTGTAGTGTTGAATTCATTTCTATACATTTCTCAAGTTCAGCACACTTGTCTGTGTAGTATGTATTGTCAACTGTTGGTATAGAAGGAAAGGTCATTCCTAAGTGTATTAGCTTCAATTGAGGAAGATTAAAGAACTGTAACAATACAAGACAAGAAAAATATTGACCAGCACCAGTTAATTCACAGTAGCATTCCTGAACATTGAATAGAAAAAATGGTTGTAATAATTTGTGTATTAATTCATCAGTGGGTTCATCCAACTCTACCTCCAGTCTCTTACACTGGGTCTGTAGTGAGTTACTGGTTAGTCCAGCAGTGAAGACTGATAGTGACTGGTTAGATACCGTCCCCAGGTGCAAGTGATTCCATGTTGTGTTAGAGTAATTTATACAATAACTGAGACACAACCAGTCAAACAGTGATAATGATACTCTATCAAGACACAGTGAGTGGTTGTTGATGGATTGTGCTAATACTCGACATAATGTTGTGTTCTGTGATTCGTACAAGAGTTGAAGAAGAAAGATGGGAACATTATCAAAATCATCAGAATCAATATGATCAAATTGCTGAATCTCAGGATTCTGATAAAAGCAGGGGAAATATTTTTCAAAGCCAAATAAAGACTTTCTTTTACACTGTAAGTCAAGTTGCTCATTAAAATACTGTTGATAGCTCTCATGTTCAAGGTGAGTTAGACCTGCTACAAACCTCAGACACATCTGAAAGTGATCATCATCAAAGTGATCCTTAAACACTTCCTCTGTCTTCTTCTCATGCTTAGCTATCCACCATGCAGCTAGAAATTCCTGTATACTCAAGTGAAGGAACTGATACTTTTTCTCATCATATTCTAGGAATGTTGTCATCAATCCAAGATAGTCTTCTTTCACTGCCTTACTCATCAGTGACTGTAGTTGATGTGAAGAGAATGCCATTCTTGTATTTGCCAGGTTAGTATAAGCTATTTGACACATGTCTTGTAAAGGTTTAGTTAACTGTGATGGTAATGTAGAAAGACTACCTAAAGTATATGGGTCAATATCATGTCTTGGTTTTATTTCCACATGTCTTCTGATAGTTTGTAGGATAAAGTTCTCATACAGTTGAGTGAGTGTTGTTGGTAAGTGTCCTCCTTCCTTACAATAAACTTAGTATGACCATGGAGCAGACTAGTGGTACATAACACAATGATTGGACATCATTTCGTACTTTAAGATCATTAATGAGTTTCACTGCTAGTTGTGAGTCCTTACTGCTTTGAGTAGTTATGAAAGGTTTGTGATTTTTATCATCTTTTTTTTTCTTATCAATAAGTTCTTGTGCTAGCTTTACATCCTTTTGAAGTGTTTGTATAATTACTGTTGATATTTCTTCTTTAGAAAACCCAATGACTTGAACATGTCTACTGAGAGTATCCATTTTTAAAAGTGACGAGGAGGCATAGCTACGAGAGGTAACAATTACTGAACATTGGTCTAACTGCTCTTTTTGAATGATACTAGCAGCTAATGAAGACTGTCTAAGTTGTTCACTTAGTTCATCCCAACCATCAAAGATTATCAATAATCCTTCTCCATTCCTCCTCGCAAACCATTTAGTTACCATGGGAACTTCATAACGTCTATACTCAAACAGGTCAGATAGTGTGGTAGCTGTCGCTATCTTGCTATTCCTTAAAGGACAGTAAAGTACCAAGTCATACTGTTGGTATAGAAGTGTTCTGTTCGACCACATATTTAACAGTTTACGACAGAGTGTTGTCTTGCCAATACCAGGAGGACCGTCTATTACTACTCTGAGAGACAGAGAACTATCTGTGGGCTGGAGGACATCTTCAACACTTATCTCTTTGTTTTCAGTTAGTTTAACTGTTTTATCAACTTGTCCTCTTAGCAGATGCCAAGCTGACTCTGCTTGTGTGCTGGAGTCTTGTTTTTCTATTAGTGCTAGTCTTCCAAAAAAATCTTTTCCAATTCTTGGTGGCCAGTCTGTAGCAACAATAGGTTGGTGTTTGTAGTGTTGTTTCATATCGTCAGCATATCCTTGAACATCTTCAGGTATTGAACTAATGGATGTGACATTATCAGGTATAGACTGACCTAATGTAATGAGATATAATGACTATATTGATCACTGATAATGTACACACACACTCACCTAACTGGTGTAATATAGAGGTAGCAATATCTGTTAGTGTACGATGTTGTTGGTTTATTAATACATGACAAATATCAATAAGATACTGTTCTGAATTAAGAGAGGATTCCATTAGTCCTTGTATCATAGACACTAATTGGCTTGATTTTCTAAAATCAGAGATTCCTGCTGCTATTTGTATGTATTCTTTAGTATCCAGTGGTATCAGTCCTTTAGCATACAGTGCATCAGTTACTCTGTAAAGGCTAGTAGTAATAGCATCAGTGAGTTTAGCAGAATGAGTCCTTAATATATCCTTTGGATTACCTGCAGTAGTGTATCAGTTAATGAGTGTTGTATTAAGTGTATGTTTACCTGATGTAATACTAGTAATAGGTTTATAAATTATAGGAATTGATGATACAGTAGATACTACTGGTACAGTACTAGACTTTGGTGCATCAGTATTACCTACTAGTAATTAGTTAGCTATGTGTAAGCTATATGCTTACCTGATGTACTGGTAACTGTTATTTCCATATTATCATCCATTCCCCCAGTAGGCCAATTCATTTTTTGTTCAATATAATTAACTACTTCATTCTCTTCACAGTGTTTCAAAGCATTAATGACATCTCTCCATGATACTGTAGGATTAACTTGTAACCATCATTTTATGCAAAGCCATTTTCATGAGGTGAGCATTTCTTTTTGTTTTATCTATTATATTGACATCAGATTGTGTTATTCCAGGAAGACAAAGAGCAAATGGTTTCCAGTTAACAAGTGGTTTAAGACACTTTGCAAATAAAAGACAAGATGGTCGATCATCAATCATAGGACCTGGATTGAGTTCAATATCTCCTGATAATAGGAGGAGTTTACGCAGACAAACAATCAAATAGGGATCATTGTAAATCAGGTTAGAACTGCTGCCTCCAGGTAAGACTACTGACTGGAGGTAATTCGTATCAGTAACAGTAACACCAGTAGTACATTGCACTTGGTAGCAGTTACCTAATAATAAAATACCAGTAAATATACAAGTACAAAGTTGCAATTGCTGTTTACCTGTTGGTAGAATCATCAAGATGTGTCTTAATAAAGAGAGAGAGAGAAAGAGGAGGAGTAAGAAAACAATAAGAGACAGAGCTGCTGGCAGTTTAAATGTTTTCTCTCCTGATGTAGCACTGCCTGACTTGCTGTCTACTGTAGCTTTGAATGAGTGAGAGTGGCGGCCATTAGCTGGTCTACTGGAGGCAGCTTGACAGTAGTTCCACAGTCCAATACTTGCTCTCCATTGAGAGACATCAATCATCTTGTATATATTCTAAACAATAAACAGCTATAATAATATTGAATTATTAAATTAGAATTTACTGTACAGGATATAAATTTTCATGGGACATTTAATTTAATAGATTTTGTGGGTGATTTCTTAACCAAAAAAGTTATTACCATAGAAATACTTACTGCGCATGTGCAGCAAGTGTACATAATGCATGTGCACATGCAAAAATGTGAAATTTGATCCACTCAAATTAAAAAATTGAGAGCTTTTCCTAAAAACACATAATTTTTTATCCTCAAAATTTTCCAACCTGTATTTATGGTAATTATTACATACCGTATAGCAGGTAATTTTTGGTGGTTGAAAATTTTGAATGAAACTTTAGAATAAAAATTAGTTAGTTTTATTTTCGACTAGACAAAAACAGTTGATCTGATGTCTTCATTAGACTGATAGCATTAGAAAGAGGTCCTAGGTCCCCTGGTCAGGGGTCAGGAAGAGATCCTTTAGAAGGTGAACGCTGTTTTCAAGGCCATCTATGCTTATTATTATGTTATTATTAATTTATTATGGTCACACCTATCTTCAGAATTAATTTTCATCCAGAATTAATGGCAACGAAACAGACAAAAATATCTACCAGTCGAAAATTACCTGCTATACATGGTAGTGCAGGCTATGCAGCACTCAGTGTTATTGTGATGATTAGATATAACATGGTACATGCCTTTTATCATAATATGGCTTACAACTCTTTTTTACCACAGCCCATTCAATGAATTCATTAGACTGCTTCACATGACTGTTATTATAGCTATCAATTACAATCTACAACTAGTCATCATAATTACTATCATAGCAGTTACTATAGTATGGGCGATTTTATAGTCGCAGATTGATTACCAATGAAGCCAACCAGCTACAGAGGCAGAACAAAATTTCTTCAAAATGTTTTAATTTTTAAAGCCTTATAAATTTTATTGCATGGACTGCTTTCAAAAATTTGATTACATTAACTAGATCTACACAAAAAATCACAAAAAAATCCAATAGAAAAGACTAAGGATGTCTTGGAATTTATATCATAATATTCATGAGTAATGCAGTGATTGGCAAACAACTATGATGATTGATGGTTACTGTTACGCTGTATCACATAGGTACTAGTTTTAAAATTTTGCAAAGGTTATAATGGCAAGACTAATTTTAAGCTACATTAGCTCGTTATTGTCTCCCACTACACTTATGACAATAATAAAAGTTCACCAAAATTGAACAAACCCCAGGAGCTCAATATGCTTCTCCTTCCCTCATTCCACCCTCAGGCCAGTACCAGAACTGAGCAGTTGGGTATCATGTTCATGCTAACAAGTCATTTGGATATTAGTGGATCTCTTATGATCTAGGGCCTAGGGGTACGGGTAGTCTCGCTAGGTCATTGGGGTGGACGCCGTCCACCCACTGGGTGGCTAGCGAAACTAATCTAGGGGTGAATTTATATAGATCTAGATTTATTAGATCTAAAATAATCTAGCTACCTTCAATTAAATATTGATGTTCAACTAGGTCAGTCTCTGGAAGCACCGAAGCAGACTAGAGTAGAGTTCAATAAATTATTGGTCGGACAAAAAAAGAAGGCAGAAAAAATGGGGTGACACTGGCCACGGAAGGGGGCGAGACTATCGTACCATCTATGGTCCCAGATACTATCTCAGTGCCCTAGCCTTCATCTATCCATGGCCTAGTCAGGCTCCTCCTGACTATCCACAGATACACTAAATTATTATGCATTTATTAGCTGTGCCATT